TCGGGGCGGCGGACGTGTCGACGACCCAGCCGGCGCCCGGCGCGTCGTCTTGCGCACCGGCGGAGCCGCCGACGGCGACGAGGGACGGGTGCGCGGGGTGCTGGGCAATGGCAAAGAGGGAATCTTGCGGCTCGTCAAAGTAGGCAATGGCGTCGTTGGCGAGGAGGAGCTCCTGGTCGTCGTCAGAGTCCATGGCCATGTCATTGTCGTCGTCGGCGAATTCCTCGGCAGCGTCGTCGGCGGCGAGAACGTCGAGGTCGTCGTCGGGGTGAGGCGGCTGCTGCTGCTGCTGCTGCTGCTGCTGCTCAGGTGTGTCGGACGGCATCTTGTGTGGTTGTAGGGAGACGGGACGAAAACGAAACAAAAAAAAAAACGCTAAGAGAAGAGCGGAAAGAATCAGAAGACAAGAGAGAAGGAGGAACACGAAGAGGAAGTCTGGATTTTTTGGAAAAGAGTCCAGTAATATATCCCAGGTGGCGGGGTGGTTTGGAGATGGAAGTCACCAGAGCGAAGCTGATGAGAAGCTTGGATGCTTGATAATCACTTTTCTCGATGGTGGTGGGGTTGAACTTTTTTTTCTAATTGCCCCTCATTGGGGTGATGCGCTCTCGAGGTACAAGGTTTGTCACTGTAAAATGCTGCAATCCACTGGTACCGCGGAGACTGCCAGTCCTGATATGCTCAGTGGCTCCCCTATGACTCTACATGCAAATATTGGTATTTGTAACGATGGCTATTGAGCTGTCGATCTGACCTTTACGTCGTTTCTTTTCCTCGTTTACTAATTCACCAACTATTTATCTCAAGTGGTGATTGCCGTGCCAGTCACAATACACACGCCATCATAGAAAACAGTGTCGTGGGCGTTGACGAACTTGTAAATGATAGTTGGTAGAAATCAAACAGAATGTTGAAATATCAGTTTCTCTCTCATTCATTTTGATACTGTATCAGTGCAAGGCCGAAAGTCCGCGGGAGCTAGAGGTCGAAGTTGTTGCCCATGTCCGCTACCATTAAATGAGTTGTCTCTGTAGCCACATGGGAGGGAGCTTTACTGCAACATAAGATCGTCTCCATTTCATAATACTTTTCAGTCTTCTGTTCAACTATGTGGACTAACTGCATTCATAGCGTCACATTTGGACAACAGGCCTTATCTTGGTCGTGCTGGGTATATTGACTAACATGCCAGTGATTATTGCAACCCTGCCGACTTCCCATCACCCGTTCTTCACAACACTCTCCATATATTCTACTGTCTCTGGTTCACGAAGACGCCGACACTCTCCTCTCCCATGCCAATGCCGATGATGAGACGGTGCTGCACCGGGCGACACCTTGCTGCGAGCTCATCCTACCTGCGCCGGTGCTCGGCATGTACCTTGATTGGACTAATGGAAAGAAGCACGCAGCGCTATACATGGTTAAAAAGGGTTGGTATAGTAAGGAGGGCACTAAAGAGGAGAGAATGAAGTTTCAGATGATGTAATGGAGTAAAAATTGTGTCGTGCAGCAGTCGTCGAGAGCTCCAAGGAGCATATTGCGGAACCGGTGTTTTACGAGATAGCTTCTAATGGATCATTCCCGACTAATTTTTTCTAAAACTGAATCGTTCCGCACGATGGAAAACATCCGTACTGACCAGTGACCACCGAACGCCCAGCTAACATGGAAACTGCCAACCCTATAACGCCATACCGAACCTGCCTTGAGCAAAGCTGTGCCATACTCCTTTGCTTCTACCACATGCCGCTTCATTCACTCGTCGAGGATCTCAACCCAGTTCTTCTCCGACTGCTTCCTCTTCCAGCGTTCGGCCGCCGCCTGGCGAACGATGCGCTCGGCGGCCTCCTCGGCCTCGGACTGGGCGGCCATTTCGCGAATCTGGTGGCGGATGCCGAGGGCGAGGGCCTTTTGCCAGCCACTGTGCGTCTTGCATCGCTTGCGCTCGCACATGCCGCGGACGGGGTCGCCGTCGCCCAGCGGGTCGTCAAGGCTGCCGTCTGGCGCCAGGGTCGCTGCGCCCTCGGGGGACCGCGCGTAGGCGGCAAAGGCGTCGCGCGCTGAGATGGTGTCGAGGCGCTGGTCGTAGCCGCACATATCATCGCCAAGGCGGCCCGCGGCGATGGCGGCGCGACGGCGTTCCTGCGCCATCTCGATGAGCGTGAGCATTTTGTGGCACAGCAGCGTCTCGGCCTCGAGCTGCTGCCGCGTGTTGGCGGCTTGCTCGACGTAGCTTCTCTCCTCTTCGCTGAGAATCGAGTCTAGGCTGTTGTCTGCGGCGGAGATTTGTTAACTTGAGTGTTACGGATACAGAAACGGGAATCGAACGTACCAATTTCGTCTCCTTTACTATGGTCAGTAGCGAATGGCGCCGCTGTCATGGTCCAGAATCCATTCTCGTCCACAGTCGCCAGTCCGCTAGACAAAAGCGCCATGAACTCCTCTTGGGATAATTGGTCCGTCAAACTGCTGCCCCCCTTGGCCGCCTTGGGCAGTCTGGCGACGAGGCGCTCCCACCAGGCCTGCGCGTGCTCGTTGGAGCAAAAGTAGCTGGGCGGGCTCTGGCGCAGGCGGGCGGCCTTTTTGCAGGCGCCCATGCTGCAGCTCTTTTTGTATATGGACCGGAACTGCTTGGTCGTGCAGCGTGGACAGATGAACTTTTCGATGAGATTCTCCCCGACCTCCTTGCTCAGGTTGATACACTCGCCATGGAACCAGTCATCGCATCCCTCGCAGCAAATCATCCAGCGGTGGTCGTCGGGACCCTGACACAAGCAGTAGGGCCCATTGTCCGAGTCATCGTCGGCGGCCGAGCCGTCGTCGGTGCCGGTCTTGGGCTTTCTACGCTTCTTTGGAAGCGTTGACTTGGGCCGCTTAGGGGCTTTCTTGACGGTGGCCGCAGTGCCCTTTTTCTTGGGTGGTGACGCGCGCGTCGATGATGGTGTTATGTCTGCAGTCTCTGTCGACGGAATGGGTGTATAGGACGCCGCGCGCGGTGATGCAGCGGCCGATTCATTCTTGATGAATACGTCTGGCTCAAAGCGGTAGTCGTCCGAGTACAGATTTTCCATAATGGACAGTCAATGCCCTTTGATTCCTGGCGGCACTCTCCACAAGTTGGCCGTGGCGATAGCATGCAGCTTGTTTCATGAGAAACCCATGAAAAATCTTGGCGTAGAGATTCTCACCAGCCTATTGTGAGTTGAATGGATGAAGCCTTCACTGAGCGAACCGATGCTCAGGGCGCGCCACAGTCGCCGCCTGCGCTAAAACGCGTGGTGGTCGCAGTGCAAAGTGGCGCCACAGCGAGCAACAAGCCTCCGGAAGATGTTCGGGGCCATCACTGAGCAAATTTATCAGCATGATCATTGAGCTTCCTCCATCCCCTGTTTGTCATCATCGCCCGCGACAGTGTGACGACGACGACGACGACGACGACAATGGCGCATTCGAGATTATCCATGGCCGTGATGCGCAACGTGCTCGCTCGAGGCTCCGCGCAGCAATGCCAGCGCTGCTTCTCCAGCAGCGCGCTGCAGGCCAAGCTCGCCCGGCCCGCCGCCGCCGCCGCCACGAGCACCAGCATGCGCGCGAGGCTTCCCATGACGCAGAAGCGCACAAAATACAGCACGGTCGAGCAGGCCAAAAGCCGGCATAGCACTGGGGTATGAAGGACCCCAAATAAATAAATGGCAAACACTTGCAACGTGATGGGACAAAGGCTGACCTAGTCTGTCGCAATACTTTATAGCCATTTTCCTGGAAGGCCGGACTTTTGTTCGTCGCTACCTGCGGCGGCCTGTTTTGGTATTTCGAGCACGAAAAGGAGCGCATGCAGCGCAAGAGAATCGCCGAGGCCAACAAAGGTGTCGGCAAGCCGCTGGTCGGAGGCCCCTTTGAGCTGATTGACCATGACGGCAAGCCCTTTACCAGCGAGATGATGAAGGGCAAATACGCATTGGTGAGCAAATGCAAAGATACGGCAAATTGCCACGTATAGATGGATAGCGATTGACAAAGCGACGCTCTAGGTCTACTTTGGGTTCACCCGCTGCCCCGACATCTGCCCCGAAGAGCTCGACAAGATGGCGCGCATGCTCGAAATAGTCAAAACACAGGCGCCTCCCGACAGCCTTCTGCCCATATTCATTACCTGCGACCCCGAGCGTGACGATCCCGCGTCCCTCAAGGGCTACCTGGCCGAGTTTCATCCCGAATTTATCGGCCTGACGGGCACGTACGACCAGATCAAGGACACGTGCAAAAAGTACCGCGTCTACTTTAGCACGCCGCAAAATGTCAAGCCCGGTCAGGACTACCTCGTCGACCACAGCATCTACTTCTATCTGATGGATCCCGACGGCGACTTTGTCGAGGCGCTCGGCCGCCAGCACTCGCCCGACGAGGGCGCCAAGCTGATCCTGGACCATATGAGGGACTGGGCCAAGAGGTAGAGAGGGAGGGGGTCGAGGCTTCCATGTGTATGGACGCATTGTATACTACTGTAGCTTTTTACCCTTGTTCAACTTGTAAAACAGAGAAATCATACCAGCAGACAACTCCACGAATTCACATATTGTTTACGCGTTGTCGTTTACGGAGTCAATTTGAGCTTGAACGTGGCAAGGCCGGGGCGTTTGAGCAAGGTGTTAGTCATATTACGATTGCCGCGCTAGGTAAATGAAAGACGTCACAGCTTCAAAAATCGCTGCAAAATAACATCATTATATTCACATGAGAACAATCGCATTGTTTCAATCCTAGGTTGTGACACGAGAACGGCCGTAGCTCCTGGTTGGTGGAGCCGGACACCACTTTACCTGAACAAGGGCACTCGGGCTAGGTCTCACCAACTTGCAACTCGCATCCTCACACGCGTATTTTGTCTGCGAACGATACCGGAGACGGTCAAGGGCGACTGAAAGCCGCCGGGAGAATTTGGTAGAATGGCACACGGCCGAATGCTCGTCACGCGTCTGACGCCGTGTTGCCGGTCGCTGGGGAGGGCCGACGTTGTCCGATGTCGCGCCGGCGCGCCGACTGCATGCATCCTCACCAGGACGGCGCAGCGCCGGGCTTTCAGCAGCGCGGCGCCAAGATTACGCGAGAAGGCAACGTCTAGAGAAGATGGTTCAACTGCAATGACAATGGACGAAGCCTGGGCCAAGACTCACCATGGCTTTGCGGATATTGCATTTGCGTTTGAGTACGTCCATTCACCCAGCGGTGCTGGCGGTATCGCGCCGTGACTAACTAGCCCCGTTAGCATCGATGGTGTGCTGTACAAGGGACAGCGAGGTATTCCTGGTGCTAGAGAGATGTTGCAGAAAATTAGACAGCTTGGACTGCGCTACGTGTTTTTGACGAATGGCGGAGGCGCGCATGAGAATGCCAAGGTAGCCTCGCTGGCGAAGCGGCTGGGCCTTGAGAATCCTGACTACGTGCTGAAGGGCAGAGTGATTCTGTCGCATACGCCCATGCGAGGCTGGGACGAGGATGTTAAAAAGAACGGAACGGTGTTGGTGACGGCATCGGAGCCTGAGACAGCAAGGCAGCTGGCCAGAGAGTGCGTCCTTTTCGATATAGTTTCGGGCTCTTACTTGAAGATTTGCTGACTGATTATTCGAAAGATATGGATTCGAGCGAGCAGTGACACCGGCAGATCTGCTCGCTGCGAATCCACACATTTACCCATTTGCTCACCTTCGCGACAGCCTCCACAAGAAAGTTTCGCCGCTACCAGACGGCAAGAGCGCTGCCGCCATCACAGACCCGTACAGTCGTGATATACCGTCGAATGCGCTCAAGATTGACCAGATTCTGGTGTGGAACGACCCGCGGGACTGGTCGCTCGACATCCAAGTCATCCACGACCTGCTCGTCTCGCACCGTGGCTATCTCGGCACCATCTCGACCAAGAACGGCGACAAGGCGCTCATCGACGCCGGATGGCAGCAGGACGGACAGCCGGACCTCTGGATCTCGAACCTGGACCTGGTGTGGAAGACGGAATACCCGGTGAACCGATTCGGCACGGGGGCGTTTCTGGAGGCGCTCAAGGGCGTGTGGGCGGCGGTGACGGAGGGCGCGGCGCCGCTGCGGTATGAGGCGCTGGGAAAGCCGTCGCGACACACGTACGAGTACGCGCACAATCGGCTGCTGCATGGAGAAGACGTGGCAGAGGGTGAGAGGAAGAGGCGGCGGCCGCTGCGCAGGGTGTACATGGTCGGGGACAATCCGGAGAGCGACATTCGCGGGGCCAACGAGTTTACGCCGCCGGACGGCGCGCAGTGGGAGTCGATCCTGGTGCGTACGGGCGTATTTCAGCCTACAAAGGCGGAGCCGGAGCCGCGGTATCAAGCGACGGTGGTGGTGGACGACGTGGTGGACGCGGTGGTGTGGGCACTGCGGAACGAGGGTGCGGATGTGTCGAGGGAGTGGCTGCTGTCCAAGTGAGAAGGAGGCGCATCGGTAGAAATGTATTATGGCCAATGGCGATGCTTTAGAGTAGATAAAGAAGAAGAAACCAAGAAGAAACAATGAGTATTGTTGCAATCGTGCATAGAGTCACATTGTGAGTCAGCGTGGCTCGAGGGGAAGGCTTATAAGTCACATTGTGTCGTGCACCTTCAACCAATAAGGTAATGAGCAACATGGCTCAGTGGAAGAGCGACGGGCTCATAACCCGTAGGTCCCTGGATCGAGACCAGGTGTTGCTATTCAGCATTGGTTTTTTTGGTCGCTTCTTTTATTTTTTTGGGGGGCTTTTTTGTCCGGGTCGTGTAACGTGAATGTGGTTGTCAAGCTGGGTGAGTTGTAAGCGTAAAGCTACTGGGGAGTTACTTGAGACGATTTGAGTAGAGTTTGAGACTTGGCCAACGTAGCCGCGTTGTGTGGGGTGTATATGTATCTGCATGTATATGGCAACGAAGATTGATGCGTTGTGATTTATTACAAGTGAGAAACGGAAAAGATGGGAGAAGAATGAAATTGTTTTCCTTGGTATGATGAGACGGATTTATATCGTGATTCGATTATCAGAAAATCTTGTGTGAAATTCATCCTTGGCGACTGAGATAAACGATGGCCCCTGTGGTGGATGAGATGGTGGCCGTGGCCTGATTCAGACTAGCTGGCACACGAGGATGCAGATGTTGGGCTGAGCAGTACGAGCAGGTAGCTTGGCAACGCATGGCTATGCCGAAAAGAGATGATGAGTGAGACACTGGTGAAGAGAGTAGGAAAACCAACCAAACAAGTCATTCTGTAACTGGCTGGCAAAAAAAAAAAAAAGTGAGTGGGCTGATGAGGGAAAAGGATCAATGCCCACGACGCGGTGGCGGCCAAATATGAGACGGAGGCTGAGGCGGCTTTTGGGAGGATTATCAATACCTAACTATTCACAATTGGCTTACAGCAGGAATTGCAGCAGAAATTGCACATAGAATGCCTGCAACGGCGTTGACTCGCAACGGGCTTACAGCGCTGTGGCGCCTGTGGATGACCTGTAATTACCTCTCTATTGGTGTGGCGTTTCGCTAGTCTCAGTCCTCCCCCAGCTAAAATAGATGTCCTCATGATCATTCTTATATTTGAACAGTAGTGACTGAAATACGAGAAATTGATTGTAGAGTACGGATTATGGCAGCCTCGTAAAAAGACGTCGTGAAAATCAAGGTTCAAAATCGACGCGAGTCGGCGGCTAAGGTGCATGGCCCATGCTGCGACAATAGACGAATTCAATGGGGCGGCCTTTTCGCGCCGACAAGGAATGCAGAGAAGAAAAGAACCCCTGATTTGAATACTGAAATCCACCGCCCACTGGCCTGACTAGCAAAACCAATGCTCTGCTATCATACTCTGGTCGTGGGGCACACCTTAATAATTTATCACGTCTTAACTACTTACGGAGTACCTTAGCTCTGTCGGCCAACTGCCCTGTTTGTCTGTCTTCCAACTGTCGTGAGCTAGTCGAGCAACCCTGTATTCCTCCCCACTAAGCCTAGCCCATCCATCCCACGACTAGCCCACGATAAGCCTGCGACACAGCCTTATTACCCCCCGTCCGCCTCTTGGACCACGCCTTCCACATATTCGGTCTCCTGTCGCGTGCATCCATTTGCCTCAATTCTGCTTCTTGCCTCCTCAAGCTGCTGCGAGCAGAGTAGGTCGACTGAACTTCCTTGACTTTGCCCTCTCTCCCCATCTTGCTTTGCTATCCAACACTTGCTTCCACCCGCCCATACCATTCTTGGCAGTCGTTAATACAGCTTGGCTTGTGACTGCCCTCCCTCCCTAGCCATGTCGACGGAACAGTTTCCTTCGAATGGCCCTGCGCCTCTCCGCTCTGCCCTCAAGGTGGACGACGAAGGCGACGGAACGCCACCCATCAGCGGCTCCTTGAAAGGTATGTGCACGTGTCTGTCCTAGCTGCCATGGCAGGCGCAGTCTTTACAGAGCCGTCTTTGCTGACACCCGCTCTCCTCCACCAACAACAGCTGTCCAGATCGCCGAGCCCGTCGAGGAATACTTTGTCGACGAACCCGACCAAGGCCAGTCCTCCAAGCTCTTTCGCGTCGGCCACAGCAAGCGCATGAGCGGCAAGCCCGTCGCCTCGTCGCGATCCTCCATTAGTGAGCCCTCGCCCGGCCTGCGGTCCCACGACGACCCCTCCTGCTCCGCCACCTCCTCTCAACCACCTCGCGTCTCCTCTCGCCAGGACAACAACTGCCAGTACTACAGCGAGAAGCTGCTCGCACAGGTCAGCGACTGGCTTGAACATGAACGTCACAAGGCCGCCAGCCGCAAGAAGCACTCTCACCTGCACCACCACCAACCACGCCGCTCCTCCAACTCGCCGCCCGACAGCAGCCGCAAGAGCCGCGGTCCCGATGCTGACCACGTCAAGCCTGCCGTAGCCGCACCCCAGACCCAACGGGAGCGCTCTGATTCAGTAGACTCTCAGGGCAGCGATGTCTCCCTCGACCGCCTCCAGCGCATCATTGAAGACTCCATGTCGTCCATGGGCCTGACGACCGTCCCGCACTTTAGCCCCCGCCCGCCCAGGCACAAGCTCAAACGTCGCGGCTCCTTGCGGCCTGCCTCCTCAGACACGGAATACGCCGAGAGCGATGTTGTCGTCCCCAGCTGTGACGCCTGGCTCGACAACTCTAAAACCCTAATCTATTCTGGCACAGCCCTGAGCAACGAAGAGCCCGAGGCCTCGGCTGTCCGCGTCGCCAAGGAAAAGAAAGTCTGGCTGGTCTTTAAGAATGAAATAATTCGCATCGCGCACACCCTGCGACTGAAGGGGTGGCGTCGCGTGCCTCTGGGTGACGGCCACAGGATCTGGGTCGAGCGTCTCAGCGGCGCCCTCACCAACGCCGTCTACGTCGTCACGCCGCCCACCGACATTCCCGAGATTGAGGGCAAGAAAATGCCCCCCAAGCTCCTTCTCCGCATCTACGGCCCCCAGGTCGAGCACCTGATTGACCGTGACAACGAGCTCAAGGTGCTCCAGCGCCTGGCCCGCAAGAAGATTGGCCCCCGCCTGCTCGGCACTTTCAAGAATGGCCGCTTCGAGCAGTACTTTAACGCTATTACGCTGCGGCCGAGCGATCTGCGCGAGCCCGATACCTCGCGCCAGATTGCCAAGCGAATGCGCGAGCTACACGACGGCATCGAGCTGCTTCCGTCGGAGCGAGATGGCGGCCCCGGCATCTGGAAGAACTGGGACCAATGGCTCGATAATGTCGCCCGCATCGTGCAGTTTCTCGACAAGGACCTACACAACGTCCCAGAGGGCTCCCGCGCCAACTCTGTGGTACATGCCTGGAAAGCCAATGGCTACGTCTGCGGCGCACCTTGGCCCCAATTCCTGGATGCCGTCGTCAAGTTCAGAGCCTACCTCGACAGCTTCTACAAGAGCGCAAAAGCAATCCGTGAGAGCCTAGTATTTGCTCATTCCGATGTGAGTACTATCTACCCCTTTCTTCTTCCTGCTCCGCGTAAACTAACACCCCTTTAGACGCAATACGGCAACATTTTGCGCATCCGTCCCGACGACGAAAAGTCGCCGCTCCTCCAGGCCGCCAACAAGCACAAGCAACTCATCGTCATTGACTTTGAGTACGCCGCTGCCAACACGCCCGGCCTGGAGTTTGCCAACCACTTCACCGAGTGGGCCTACAACTATCACGACCCCGTCACCTCGTACGCCTGCAACGTCGAGCGCTACCCAACCCCCGAGGAGCAGCACCGCTTCATTAAAGCCTATGTCGACCACCGCCCGCAGTTTCCCGCCCTTGGCACCCCCCGCATGCTTCCTCAGGACCACGCCGCCAATACGGCCGCCAATACGGCAGCGAACGCTGGTGCCGGCGCAGGGTCTGCATCGGCCACCGCCAGCACCCCGCCCGCTCTGCTGCCCACCGCCTCGAGCAGCTCTATTGTCGAGTTTATGCTTGACGCGCGCGCCCCCGCCGGCGGCTGGACTGCAGCCGAGCGCGCCCGCGAGGAGCAGAGCGACGCGCACGTCCGCGAGCTCATGGAATCGACGCGCCTCTGGCGCACCGCCAACAGTGCCATGTGGGTAGCTTGGGGCGTCGTCCAGGCCAAAATTCCGGGCCTGGATGAGGGCAACAATCCCGTCACCCAGGACGTCGCCGACGCGGCCGAGGCGGAGATGGGTGTCGACGAGTTTGACTACCTGAGCTACACACAGAGTCGGGCGTTCTTCTTCTGGGGCGACTGCGTCAAGCACGGCATCGTGAGCTTGGAGGAGCTGCCAGAGACGTTGAGGAAGAATGTCAAGATGATTGACTATTGATGGACGGGGATGGCAGGATTGTATACATGTGCAAGATTTGATTTCCTCACACATTCATAGCTATGTGATGCGCATTTGTTTAGCGTTGGGGTTTTGTCAGAATAGTCTTTGTCAAAAAAAAAAATTAAATTTAAAGAAGCTGAAAAATAGTTGTGCAAACGTTGGTTGTAATTGTTGCTGTCTTGCGTGCAATGTCGAGAGTCCCTTTATACCCAAAATGCCCTCTTCTAAACCTCCATTTCTAGGATAAGAATAATGCAGAATGCAGAATGCAGAATGCAGAATGCAGCGTGTCGATTTATTGTCTAGTATACTTGTACTTTTATTTTTCCTTGATTTTCTTGCGTTCGTCGTTTACGCATCTAGATGCAGCCGCTCCAGCATGCTGTCAATCTTGCCCAGCAGCACCTGATAGTTGACGGCGTCCGACACAAACTCGTCCTCGGCCGCCTCGCCGTCGAGCGTGCGCACGCCATTCGTCGTGGGTGCAGACGCAACAGCACCGCTGGGAGCTTCTGCGCCATTGTCGACGGCGGCTGCGGCGGCAGTCATGTCGCCGTCCCCTTGCAGGATGTCGTCGATGCCGGCGTCCTCGAAGCGCAGGCGAAACCGCTCAGACAGGTAGTAGCGAATGTCGTCGAGTAACTCAATCGTGTCCGTCTCCTCGCGCTTCTGGATGCGGTCGGCGCTCTCGCGGATGAGCTCTTGGAACTCGGCGTCGTCAATGTAGTCCTCGAGGCGGCCAGCGAGGTAGCGCGCTGCAAACTCTTCGAGGCGCTGCACGCGCAGGTCCCACGCGGCGTGGATGACGTCGTAGATGTTGATGGGTTCCACGTCCTCGACGGGCGGGGTCTGCGATTGCTGCTGCTGCTGCTGCTGCTGCTGCTGCTGTTTGGTCGAGGCACTGTTGTCGCCATTGCCGCCGCCGCCGCCGCCGCCATGGGTGCGGTCGATGAGCGCGTTGCTGCGGCCGCTGCCGAGGGTGCTAATCGCAACGGCCGCCTTGGCCTTGAGCGCGTCGAGAAAGAGCATGTCGGCCGCGTAAAGCAACTCCAGCGCGTGCTCGAGCGGGCATACAACCGTCTCTGTGTACAAGAACGCGAGCACGAGCTCCAGCACCGCGGGGCTACAGTCGACCCTCACCACGCGCAGTTTGTCCTCCTTGCGCGACTCGACGAAATCGCCCGAGAACATGCGCTCAAAGTAGTCGCTGCGGATGAGCATGGCCTTGTGCGCGGGGTACAGCACCGACTTGCGGACTCCGCGCTCCGTCGGAGCGGCGTCGGCGGGACCAATCGGGATACCGGACGTGCTCTGGACGAGTAACGGGTCCGGAGGCGTCGGGGTGTCGTCTTGCTCCTCGGACTCGGGCTCGTCGGCGCGGAGCAAAATGTCGGCAAAGATGGAGTTGCCGTGCTTCCAGGTGACTTTGTCGACGTGGTCCGTGTCAACCACCATTTTGTGACCGATGATGTTGGCCTGGAAGAAGTCGCCGACCTGCTTCAGAGCTCGACCAACTTCGTCTTGGTAGCGCTGCCGCGCGAGGCGACGGTCGTTGCCCTCGAGGATGGCCTCCCACAGGTGGTCGATTTCCAACTGCTTGCTGATCTTGTCGATGCCTGTCAGAATAGCCTCATCTGACACGTCATTTCTGGATGATGAAAGGTCCCTGGGTACGTCTCCTAGATAGATATACCGAAGCACAACCCGAAATGACTCGTCCGGAATCGCGGTGGCGAGCTTCCAAGTTTCCGTATCCGGCTGCGCCTCAAGCTTTTTGCGGAAATACGGTGATCTCGCAGAAAGAAGAAACTTGTGCAGTTTGAAAGCGCGATTGTCAGAGGTTAGTATAATGTCGGATGTCTTCGGTGTCTCCATATCCATCAGCGCCGTAATGTGCGATGACCAGTACACAAAAGGATCCGAGGACTTGGAAAAGTCATACTGGAGAAGAAGATTTCGTATGCGGTCGTTCAAAGCATTATATATACATCTTTCTCCTTGAAACGTATTTCTTTCTGCGAGGGCTCCTGATCAAGGGTAAGCCGGTGACACATCAGTCGGATGGGTGGACGTACCAGCTTCCAGCAGCAATTGAACAAGTTCATAATGACCACACAAGCTAGCCTATTTTTTTTTATGTAAGTCTTTGAGCCAGCTCACGGAGGATACAAAAGAAGCTCACAATAATCAACGGCGTATAATCGAATTTGTCTTTGCCGTTGATATTGACGCCTTGATTGATGAGCTCTTGGCATTCCCGAAGGTCGCCATGACGGCACGCAATAAGAAATTCATTGAACTCATTGCTTTGGTCAAGAGGATTATCATCCCTCAGGATGCCGTCCTTGATCAATCGATGCTCTTCATGGAGTTTGCCTTCTAGGCCATACTTTGTCATTACCATTTTCAACACCCGAATTTCGTCCGCTGGAGCCTGCGCACATTTGAGAGATGTTGTCCAATTCCGCGATGAGCCAAGGTATGACCACAGGGCAAGATTTGAGATATCAAGAGAATAAAAATACAGTATAAGAATATAAAAACAAACTTTTTCCGAGGCTTTGCAATTTTCGGCGTTTAGCAACGCAAGTTTCGGGGAGGCAAGTTGACGCCACTAGCGCACGAGCCAAGTAGAGCGGCAGCCACACGTGGAGCCCCGCCACACCGGGCTTATCGATAAATCCAGGGCCCTGTGGCTAGGTCGCACTGCATGGTTGCTATGGCACCGCTCCAGCCTGTTTACTATGGCCGCTCACCCTGGTCTCTACCAGTGGGTCAGGCCGGGATACTGCAAGACTTGGTGCACGACGACCTCGTTTTTGCTACTATTATTGCACAAGGCACATATTTTCACACCTCATTCTCTCTCCTTAACAACAACACCCACGATACTAACAACAACAGAAACACCCCCCCCTTCTTACCCCAACGAGCAACCACTGGCCTCGAGGGCATCGACGGAGGACGTCTTACATGGGCCTTTTGAATTAATTCGGCACCGCCGTGAATCATTTACCATGTCGTCTGAAGACCAATACGAGACCCTCGAAAAGATTGGTGCGTTTTCTGTTCTCCGCCAGAAGGAAATAAGTCCTTGCCTAGCCTGCCACCTCGTGTACTGACTTATACCGTGCCTCGCAGGCCATGGCTCCTTTGGCATCATTCGCAAGGTCCGTCGCAAGACGGATGGCTTCATTATGTGCCGCAAGGAGATCTCGTACCTTCGAATGTCCCAAAAAGAACGAGAGCAACTGCATGCCGAGTTCCAGATTCTGTCCCACCTCCGACATTCGAACATCGTCGCTTACTACCACCGAGAGCATCTCAAGGCCAGCCAGGACCTGCACCTGTACATGGAATACTGTGGTAATGGAGATCTCGGGCGGGTCATCAAAGATCTTCAATTAAGGGGACAGCGGGCTCAAGAGAGCTTCGTGTGGAGTATCTTTAGCCAATTGGTTCTTGCCCTGTACCGCTGTCACTATGGCATTGACCCTCCGGAGGTCGGCACCAATATTCTTGGTCTTACGCAAGGGGTGGCATCTGCGCCAAAGACTCCTGCCGGAGCTATGACTATCCTCCACCGAGATCTCAAGCCCGAGAATGGTAAGGTTACAAATATATTGTCAGAAGACGCGGGAGCTAACGAAGAAACCAGTTTTTCTGGGAGAAGATAACTCGGTCAAGCTTGGAGATTTTGGTCTTTCAAAGATGATCAAGTCCCAGGATTTTGCGTCCACCTATGTCGGAACACCCTTTTACATGTCCCCCGAAATTTGCGCGGCCGAGAAATATACCCTTAAATCGGACATTTGGGCGCTGGGCTGCATCATCTACGAGCTCTGCGCCAAGGAGCCTCCCTTCAACGCCAAGACACACTATCAGTTGGTCCAGAAGATTAAGGAAGGCAAGGTGGCACCGCTGCCGGAAATTTACTCCCCGGAGCTAAATCGGGTCATTCGAGACTGTCTCAAGGTGAACCCGGACCGTCGGCCGGACACGGTTCAGCTGTTGAACCTGCCCGTGGTACGACTGATGAGAAAGGAAAAAGAAATAGTCGACTTCAACAAATCGCTCAGCTCCCGAGAAGAGATGGTTCGCCAAAAAGAGCGAGAACTGAACGAGCGCTTGGTCGCATTCGAAAGGGAGAAGCAGCAGATCCGCGATGATGCTGACGCTTCGCTTCGTCTTGAGTGGGAGGTGAAGGCACGCTTAGAGATTGATCGCCTGGTTAATGTAGAGCTGGAAAACCTGCAAAAGAAGTTTGAAGAGGAGGTGAAAGCTCGGGTCGAGGCCGAATTGGCAAAGAAGACCGTGTCCTTTACTGAAAAGGAAGATCAGAAGCACATTGATGACTATGCTTCATCTATCAACAAGTCAGATTATCCGCATTCCTCTATCGGGCCGAGCGGAGACGAGTATCATTCGACGACAGACCTCAGCGAATACTCGATGTACACACCCGACAGTTCGAAGGAGAAGGATATTAAAAAGTCGGCCCGAACACCATTTGCGCGAGCTCAGACCATGTTTGCTGGGCCAGCAGGAACGCCCATGGACATTGAGATGGCATCGCCAAGCCCAATTGCCATTGCTTCACTGTCACTCTCACCTCGCCGCAACGGTGCTACCAAGCCTCCGACTACCAAGCCAGGCAACATCTTTGCGGCTGCGGCAGCCAAAGACGCAGGAGGTGTAGACCTGCGATGGGAACTTCATCGCGAGCCCATTTTGGTCGATTCAGATGACGAGGACATCTGTCCCTCGCCTACGAGGCACATCAAGTCGTCCAAGAACCCTTTCAAGACGCGACCGGTTCTGACCTCGCAAAAATCGTGCCCCGTCAACCGCGTCAAGGCACCCCTGTGCACCAATGCGAAAGCCGCAGCCTCTCAGCCAGATCTCGCTCCCCGCTCTCCGAGCCGGAGTCCAACCAAGATTCCTGTCGCCAACACTGGTGAGGCACCTGCTGGGCCTGGGCTCCGCGAGGGACTGTCACGCGCCCGCTCGGTGAAGAAGGAGATGCCTGCTGCGACCAACAATGGAGGCGACGCGCTGGGCAAAGTCGTCGCTAAGAATAACCTCCGCGGTCGAAGTCTCGTCGAGCTGCAGCAAGCACGAGCAGGGGGGCGACCACTGAGTGCGGCAGGCAATATAGCGCCTGGTTCTGAGAATGTGAGCCCCAAGAGGGCTGCCGCTTTCCGCGAACGCATGGCTGCCGAGCGCCGCGAGTATGAAGAGGCCGTCGCCGTCTGGGATCCCGAGAGAGACGAAATGCCAAGTCCGTTCCTCGACCGCCGCAGAAACATCAAGGCCTAATCATGTCAATTTTTTTCTCTCAAATTATACGAATGCAACGAATCAAATGAGGGGGGTGGCAGACCACTCTTACCCCCAGTGTAACAAACCTTTCGTTCATGGCAGATCAAGATGAGCAACATTAAAAGTCTTTATTGACTTGTGTGTGTTCTGATTGTTCATAACAAGCTTCACCTTGAATTTCCTTATCGTCACGTATTCATCAGAAACCAGACTAGAAAAGTCGGATTGGGAGGGTGAGAGGGTGAGAGGGAGAGAACACAGTACGAGCATTTGAAAGCACGTTCCGAGATAGACGACATTCTTTTCTTTTTTTACCCCATTTTTTTTCTCTTTTGTTCTATTCTGGTTTCTTTGGGATCTCCATCTCAGTCTCATGAACATCTCTTTCATATTTTGTCCCGAGTTTCTCCCAGAGGAGTAAAAACTCCGGGAAGAGGCGCGTTGAAGGCGTTTTTTTCTTTTTTCTTTTTGGCATTGGAAAGTCATATTATCAATTTCTATGACGGGGTTGTCCTTGTTAGAAACTCCCTTAGCTTACCGTGACTTTTGAGTCATCTTCTTATTTGGGTAATTTATGCATTGTCACATTGATATCGATGTACGCTTTGTGTCAAGATTTGCAGCGTGGCGACTCTTGTGCATATAATGGTGATGGTGATGAATCCAAACAAGCCCTGCCAGGTATTCAACGCCACTGCTCCATGTCCTATGCTCCCGGAGCCATCTTTTGGTCGCCGAAAAGTCCACGTCAAGAAATAAGCCTCTTGTTAATAAATTAGTTAGTGTTGTCCGGGCGGCTCGCGTAGTCCCGGCCCGATTATCTTTGTATTAATTTAAATGGGGCCGTTGGAGAACGCACGTGCGGGGGGTAACTTGATCGCGTCTCGACGCGTCCACCAGCAAGTAACCTTGTATATACGACGAGCGACAAGCTCGACCTTTTCATACTCCTGATCCCAATCTAGCTGCATAAACCGTCGCCATGGCTGAGGAACCGTCGCTTCCGGCGCTTCCCGCTGTTTCATGGAATGAACAGTCACAAACCTTTGCCAAGGGCTCGCGGAAGCGCCAACGACCAGTGCATTCAAACACGGGCACAACCGCTCCAGGACTGTACAACTCGAGTGACCCCGCCGTCTTCTCCAGCGATGACGATCCCGGCCTGGACAACTATGTCGGCGGTCGACGCAAGCGAAAATATGTCGGGTCATGGTTTCAGCAATTTCCGACATCTTCAGACTCGACATTCAGCGAGGCTCAGCAAGTTCTACCGCGGCCCAAGCGGGCCCTGAGGCGACAGCTGGATAGCGGCGTGTTTCTGGGCAGCGATGGCGCAACCGACAATGAAAGCGTCCCTGAAATGGTAGAGCTTCCCATTCATAGCAAGTTTCCGCGCATCGAGCGACCGCCAGTTCCCATGTTCTCCGAGTCTGAGCACGTGGCACAAGAAAAGATTCGCGAATGCCTGGAGCAAGGCAACGAATCCATAGATTTCTGGTCAATGGGCTTGGAAGACCTCTCCAACGAAACCATGACACCACTTTCTCAGCTCTCGTGCATCCCGCAGGTTTCTAGGGATGTCGCATTCGAACAAAAGGACCCAGAACTCAAAATCTACCTCGCCAGAAACAGGCTGTGGCGTCTGCCCGGAAGCCTATTCGACCTGACCTTTCTTACCGTGCTGAGCCTTCGTGACAACAAACTCACGGAAATTCCAGCATCCATCGCAAAGTTGACCAATTTGAGAGAGCTCAATCTTGCACAGAATAAGCTACGCACTTTGCCGCCCCAACTTCTCGATCTCATTGGTCCCACTGGGCGTTTGAAAAAGTTGATGTTATTTCCAAACCCTTTTGCGCAACCAGATCGAGCAATTGGTGATATCTCAGATGACGGCAATATGGAAGTGCACGATTATATCGTGAGCATGCGCGTTGGTGCAACACGACCTGCTATTCTGGGTCGATTTCTCGGGCAGACTCCACTGCAGCTTACAACATCCAAGGGCCGACGTACTTCGAGGTTTGCCTTGTCGTTTGAGTATGAAAAGCTTCCTATCGAGCTTACCAGGCAGGAGATGGATGATGGCAGCAACGAAGTGGTGCTCGAGGGCAGAGAGGATGCACTCGCCGCAAAGCAAAGCCGTGTGCCTAGCCTGGTTGAGGTGGCTCTCCGGGCTTGCTACCGCATCCCCAAACCAGAGGGTCTTGCGCAGTACATTCCCGACGAGCTGCATCAACTGCGCACTTTGGTGATTCAGACTGGAAACCAGAAGCACTCGGGAGGCGTCACCTGCAGCACCTGCCGAAAACTAATGGTGATGCCGGCCGTCGAGTGGGTTGAATGGCGCGACTTGCGCACTTGCTACTGGCTGCAGGCAGGCGGCGGTCGCGACGTTGATCCAGGCCACATGGCGGCGAGGTTGATTCCTTTGAGCAGAGCACAGGAGGAGATTGCTGTGCCATTCTTACATCGCGCATGCTCTTGGCTTTGCGGTCCGAGGGCAAGGAAAATTGACCTAGGATGGAGTCGAGACTTTGATATCAAGATTCTAGAGCATTGAGCACGTATTCATTTGATGCATATATAGGGAGCATTGGGAGCATTGAAAGCGAGTATGGGCAACAATTATGTTGGAAACCATTCTAGGTAATAGTAATGAACACAGAGTTATTCCAAGTACATATACAATTATGTAGGTGTAGATTGACGGCTGCAAGCGATAATGACTCCCAATCTGGACTCATTACTCGGGCTCGAGTCGATTCTTATTGATCCTGGTCCCCACGTTGACGCCTTCGCGGGCTCTGTACCCCGAGAATAGGTCTGCTGATTCATAGCAAACTTCTCAGGATGTCCCGTCTATACGATGGAGGTTTCGAGATGTAACGGCGATACCAGATATTTTGTTTTTGCTGGCGATTGTTGCTTTTGTGACAACAGTAATCCTTAGCGCACTCATTGACCGATGTCTCGGCTGAAGTAGACCAGAATACGGCGCGAACTGTCAGTGGACTTGAAGGATCATTTACGAGCCGTGGGTAGGGTATAACGCAGCACTTAAAATCGTAACAGAGAGAATACACTCATGATAAAATCGTAACAAAAGAGAAAACACACTCATGACAAAAGAGATTATATTAGGGTGTCATGGCCATGTTCCATACTATTAGTAGTCATGCATGCTGCTGGTCTTGGATGCAAGTCAGCTGCAATAACCATTACGAAGCCCCGCCAGGTGACGTGACGCCGCCTGAAGACCCGCAAGGAACGGCGACTGCATGGCAACAGCCCAGAATATCTCCCGCTACACACGAGTCGTCGACCAGCTCTGGGCACTTGAAGCAGGGAGACAACGTCGTCCTTTTTTTTTGCCTTGCTTTTTGACCGTTTCATTTTTTTGCGGCTGCGAAATTGCTGAAAGACCTGGCGCCGATCACCGCAACACGCGTGTCAGCCAGACACATTCCCATAATACGTTGACCCCATGCTCAATCAAGCGCATCAAACAAAACAAAGGAATTTGCGGCCCCACGCTCACGATCGAAACCGGAGGGTATAGAGGCGAGACGAGACGAGACGAGACGAAGACTTGCAGACGAGCTCAGAACTGTCAACCGAGGCCTGACCACAAGGCCGTGATGCCTTCCGCCCAACAGTCGCGGCCGGTATCGCCGTCGCCGTCGCAGCTACCGCCGGTGCCTTCATCGCCAGTATACTCGATCGCTTCAACAGCCAACCCAATGTCCCAGTTCAACTTGCCGCTACCACCACCGCCGCGGCCGGCCCACGCAGTCCTGACCAAGGCGGACCTGGACCGCTCACAGGAGGCTTACGCGTCCCTCGTCGCCTCGGCCAAGGCGTACCGGCAAGCGCTCGCGACGCTGTCGACGGCGGCCTCGGCGTTTGGCACCGCGCTCGAGTCTTGCGCGCGCCTCAAGGAAGCCCGTGCTGAGCCCATCGGCGCCGGCGCCGGCGCGGCGGCCGGCGGCGCCAGCATGACGGCCAGCTACACCGCCAACAAGGGCGCGTGCACCGCCGACACGCTCATGGCCGCGTCCGGCTTGCACCACCTCATCGCCAACCACCAGCAGATCCTCTCCGAGACCGTCTACCGCTCGTTTGAGGTGCCGCTGCTGCACGACCTCGACAAGTGGCAGTCGGTCATTGACGACGAGGACGAGACGTACCAGCAGCAGATCAAGGCGCAGGCCCGCGAGGTCCGGCGCCTGGAAAAGGATGGGCTGAAGCTGCACCGGCAGAAGCGGCGCGACGTCGCGCGCTTCCGCGCCCACCTCGTCGAGCTGACGAGCAAGCTCGACGGCATGTCGACGCTGCACGCCGACCACGCGCGCACATTGCTGCGCGAGAGTCAGGACACGAGCGCCCGCATCGTCGACGCCAGCTGCAGCCTGGTCCGCGCCGAGGTGGACATTTTCGAGAGCCTGGCCAAAAAGGGCTGGACGGGCGGCGGCCTCGAGGACCTGCTGGAAAAGGGCCAGGACCTGTTTGCGACGGACACGGACACGGGCAACCACCACCACCACAACAACTACCACGCGGGCGTCGGCGGCGGCGTGCTCGGCGGAGGGACCGGCGACGGCGGCGTCAAGCTGTTTTCCATACTGCCGCCAAAGAGCATCCTGCCAGACACCGCCTCGGACTCGTCGCGCCCGGGGGGGCACGCTAGGAGCGACAGCCTGCTCAGCGATCCAGAGCGGTACCAGTCCCTGACGGCGCTGGCTACATCCGACGGCCGAGCCGCCGACGCAGAGGCCCCCGCGGCGCCGACCGACTTTAACAAGCCGCGCAACGCGCGACCATTTTCGCCGCAGCCCATTCGCCGCGTCCCCATGGAGATTACAGAGGACTCCCTCGGTGCCTTTGGCAACGGCACGTCGAATCAAGTGCAGCAGCAGAAGCGGGAGGCTGGCGAGGGCTGTCCTCATGAAGATGGCGAGTCTGCCGACGCGACCGAGGACGAGAGAAAAGAAGAAGAGGAGAACGAGGGTGACGACCGCGGGAGGCAATCGCGGTCAGCAACGCCAGAACCAAAGGACGACACAGAGATACTGTCGTATGACGGCTCTCCAGGAGGAGGATGGGGCTCCTGAGCCTAGAATGTTCTTGTCAGTGGTAGCAACTCGAGGCTGCACCTGTCCAGGCCTGTCTGATTGTTTTGATTCGTTTTGTCTCGTTTTCTTTTTACTCTTCTTCAGCGCTGACTACTCATCTGCAAGTGCTGCAAATCGGGCGAGTTTTAGCATATTGCGCGTATTATCTTTTTCTTCTTTCCCTTATTTCCTTGATGTCGGGATCTGGCCTGTGTACTGATTTATCACAGCATGCCTTTACGCGGGGTCCAAGAGGACTGACACACTTCATCTTGTATAGTTAGACATGTACATCATCAATTAATGTGACTGTTTGCTTCAATCGATGCCGCGCAGAGGTGCGCAATACAGCATCTTACTCTGTACGTTTTCTCTTTTTTGTTTCTGCCAAATCACCACCACCCAGGGAGAAGGATCCTCGCGTCATCTATAAGAATAAAAAAAAGTAAAAAAGGAAAGAAACGCCCGAATGTAGTCCGAATCATCACTATCCATTCCCATTCCACCATGTGCATGCCGAAAAAACATTAAAAATATAATGACGCTTTGCCGTAGATGCAGTCTGCCGACGCGCGAGTCGCTGAATATGAATACGTTGGCTTTTACTCGTCCTTGTCAATGCTGTAGATGTCGCCCCTGAACAGACCAAAAGTCGCATCCAGCCACCAGATAAACTTCCAGTACAGGCTCGCGCGGCTCCAATCGAATTCGCCCGTCTCAGTGCGCGGCACCTCGTTGCCAATCATGCTGCCCCCGAACCAGTTGATAAACGGCACGGCGCTGATGAAGCGCTGCATGACAGACTGCTGCGGGAGCAGCGCTTGCTCGGCAGGCAGCAGACGGGCGCGGCGCGCGGTAGGTATCCGGCGGCAGAAGATGCTGTCCTCGGGAGGAATCTCAATGGAGGAGGAGGAGGGCTCGGCAGCTGTGGTTGATGCGACGGGCCCGGCAGCGGGGACGCTCGCGCTAAAAGGGTCAACGACAGTCGCAGTCGAAGCCCGGGACGGCGAGAGCGTGGCCGTGTCGAGAGTATCGCTGGACCGGCGCGTGTCTGGCGCGGTGAGGTCGAGCAGCCGGCTGCTAAACGACTGGGGCAGGCCGCCAACCATGCGTCGGGAGGGACCGGCGGCGTCACCGACATTGGCAGGGGCGCTCTGCGATCTCGACAGGCCACCCGCGCCCGGCAGCGCAAGCCCGTCGGCAAACAAGTCGCCCGTGTCCGGGCAGGCTTCGTCTCTGGCGAGGGGCACGCCGCGGTAGGGTTCCGCGTAGACCAGGTGTCCCAGGATGCGCTGCGGGCTGGCGTACATGGCGGCGTTGGCGGCTTCGGCGCTCTCAAACGTCACCTTGACCCAGTGCTCGCCGCCGTCGATGCGGTTGACGAGGGCGCGCTCGTCGGGCGTCAGGTTTCGGCGGCGCGTGTAGGCCGGGTCGCGCAGGTCCGACTTGTAGCGGCGCTGCGTCGCGGGCGGTTCGCGGGGGTAGTCCTCGAGGATGCGGCCGGCCAGCTCCTCGTAGTGGCAGATGGCGGCGTACTGCTGCGAGTTGGAGCGGTAGCCGCGGAGGGTGAGCTCGACGGGCGTCGACTGTGTCGCGCGCTTCGGCGCCGGGTCCTCCTGGCTCACACCGGTCGACTTTCTGGCTGACGAACCGCTGTTGTTGTTGTTGCTGTTGCTATTGCTGCTGCTGTTGTTATTACTGCTGCTGTTTTGCTTCGACATCCAGTCGCCAAAGACCTTGTCGGCTGCCGCGAGCGTTGGGTCCTCCTTGACGCCTCTAGCTGGTGTGCCAGTGCGAGATCGCGAGCGCCGCGTCGACTTGCCAAAGGAGCCGGTTTCTGCTACGGTTCGTCGTGAGCGTGTGCCTGATGAAGGGCCACCTTCGTTTCTGTCGCAAAACGCGTGTTAGCGATTGTGATGCGCGGCAGAGGTTAGACGAGGGGCGATGCATACTGGCCAAAGATCATGGCATAAGGGCGCGTAAGGCCGTCCTCGCCGACGTAGCGCTCATCGTCGGGAACATTGTGCAGAATTAATGGCATTTTTTTGTACCAATGTGGAATGCAAATGCTGAAATACGTGCAGTGGTAGAAGAATAGGGTCGATGAATGGATTGACAAGCCGTTGCTTGCAAGCTGATCTGCGGCGTGTAAATTAATTTTCTTGAGGCTTGTTTCTGGCACAGCAACCAGCTTGCTGTGATTATGATGAGTTATGGGGCTCGAGTTTCTCCGGCGCCGAACCTGGGGAAGCCCTGTGGTATTACCCAAGTGGTCCTTAATTCTAGCGCCATTAATTATTGGGGGGGGAGCTTCAGCGCTACGTGGGTGTTTAGGTGCTGGCGCTAAAGCTGGTCTAAAACTGGTCATGTAATCTGTATTTAGTGCTGTAATTATTTCACAGAAGCTTTTGCACGACTACATCTTCGCGACATCTCGACTGGTCAGGCCATCTGCCGTTTTCAACGCATCGCCCTCTACAACGAGAACCCGGCTCCCTTTACAATGTCGCCTTTGTTGTAAAATTCGGCTGCTGGCAATAGCTGGCTTGCCACCCAGCGCGCCGTCTGTGTATGCATCGAACCATGACCAAACGGATCGTGCGTCTTGTCCTTGCGCACTCGGTCGTCCGACAGAGAAAGACTGTTCATGGCGCCCGGCAGGTTCGCTTCTGGCTCTGCATCCCCGGGATGCTCACCTCGAGGAAAGGACGAATACCCTTCACAGAGCGCCTGGATAGCCACCAACTGATCTTGCAGATGCTCATCCACCTGTCCGCCCAACGAGATTTCCTCGTGCAGGTCCCGACACACTGAGCTTGCTAGCTGACTTACAAAGGTGTCTGATGATTTCATCTTTTTGGGCATGCCTTGCAGAATGTCCTTTGCCCAGCGGATCCCATCACGAGATTCCGCCACCAGAAGCACATTCCATTTTTGATCAGAGCCAGAATCTTGCACCACCTTTAGCTCAAGGTCGGCGTCTGGATACAGCTCGCCCAGGTTTCGGAAAATATGGGTTTGCAGCTGCTCATGAGCGTGTCCGGGCGCGATGATGCTGATATTGATGGTCTTGACATGGTAAGACGCAGGGTACACGTATCGCTTCGGTGCAGAGTAGCGTAGCTTTTCGCCTTTTGGCACTGGGTATATCGTGAGCGTTACCGAGCCAGGTGACGTTGTGCCGTTGCTCCAGCTGCGCTTATTGAGCACCCTGTCTATTCGAATAGAGAATCGCTCCTCGAGCGCTGGCATCAGGACTTGGTCAAAGTACTCGTAGCTCAGCGACCACTGTACGTTGGTGCCACCGTGAATGGTAATAGTGAGTGGCTCGCCCTTTGCATTGCCAGCGAACAAGACAAACGGGAATATCGCCTGCAAAATGAGAAGTGCACTGGCCGCTTCTGTTTCTGCCCTAATCTCAAAAGAACGACCGGCAAGATCTGCTGGCCCTTTGTTGGGGATGAAGGTGAGCGTCTGGGATCCGACACTCAGGCCCTCCACCTCTGCACCAGTGACGTCTGCCAGCCATTGAATCGAGGTAACGTGCTGGACTTTGAGGCCTTTCATCACAGTTAATTTTCCTGAAACAAAAAAGCTCTGCAAAACTTACCACCGCCTCGCCCGCCTTCTCGGTTGCCTCGGACATGTGTAATCTTGACGGGTTGGGAAGTAAGGGCTGCTAAGCCGACTGCGACACGGACTAGTTGGCCACCACCTTCGCCGGTTCGGCCGTCAAGTTCAATAGGCTTCACCTTCATTCTGACTTGATTGATCCTTTTTCGAATGTTGTCAAGGCTGTCATTTTTCTAGTCAGAGGAGTGCTCGTTTTATAGGCACGGCGTGAGTCAAACGAGCAACATTCACCAGTGGGGCAGCATCATGCCTCTCGCCAGTTAATCAATCATTTATAAGCGGCGTTGACCTCTATCGAAGCGAATTAATTCATGTTTCCGTTTCGCACATGACGATTCTCCGTCAAAGTTTACTGCTGTCAATACGCAAAGTCTCGGAGCTGGGCGTATTTCCATTCGGCTGTTCCGACTACGACCGTGGCCAAACACCGAGCTGACCAATAGCCGACTTTTGGCTGGCTACTTGTCACTTGCCCTCCTAGTTTCAAAGCCTCCAAGTACTCCGTTGCTCCGTAATAGTGAGTTTGAACTAGTAAAGGGTGCAAATCTGGGGCGGCGCGCTGCGATCATCGTGGCGAGTGGGCCATGCATGGTTCATGGCTTTCCTATTTTGGAAGAACCGATGTTGGGCACGCGAGCAGATGCGATGCCGGGTTATTGGGCTCTCTTGATAAAAATACGCTAATGAGAATACGAGAAAAGAGATGCTTTTTGCAGAGGTTCGGATCGGCAATGGACCTGATTTCGCCCTGCGACCTGCTTCAGCCCTACGTGTCACTGGTATCCGTCCCAGCCCTGGCCTTCCGAAACAAGGCTGCTGTCCGTAGATACACACCCGCTGCAGCTCAGTCACGCTGGGGGGGGTCATTCACTCGATTTCGGCACAAAGACACGAGGAGAGGAGGAGAATGTGATTCAAAATATCCGGTATTGCTCTGCTCCACAGTTGTGAAGTAAATACTCGCCGATTGTCTAAAAGCCATTGTGGGTATAACTATGTGTATAAGTGCTGATGCCGCCCAAGAAGATGCACGTTTTCGGAAACATTGGAAGAAGAAGAAGAAAACAAAAATTTCAGGACAAGGAAAAGAATCGCAATGGTGAGCCAGGTGCTATCCCGGGGGGTCATTGGAAGGGGGCAATGTATCTTTCCAAGTCTGCAATGATTGGCAGCATTCTAGCTCTGCCGTGTGCATTCGCTGCCCCGTCCGAGGCCTGCATCGGACGGGCCCAAATTGGAACAATGCCCTGATCGGCCCAGAACTGCTGCATGACCCAAGACGCGTTGGAGGACATTTCCTCGCCAAAGCTCGGCGCCCGATGTTGCGCGCTGTTCTTTTCAGCATTGGTGTCGCTAAACAATGAACCATGAGCATTTTGCACCTGAGTTGTCAACTGACGATGGAAGCATATTTAGTTTTTAATTACCTCAGAAAAACGGATTGAGATATCGCGTCACTCGACTGCCGCCTGGAACGTGCGCCACCGGAAGAGTCCTGCCCACTCTCCTCTGTGGTGAACCACTCGCTGCCACTGTCTTGGTCATCTGGAACGGCCTGTTCCTGTGCATGCTGGCCCCGTGTTGAAGCTGGAGCTTGTGCTTGTGCTGTGGTGGCTGCTCGGTTGGGGGTCTTGTAGCACGCCACGGAATCTGCGCTCCCGTCTGCGGTGGTGTGTCCTTGTTTCTGGGAGGAGGAGCCGGCCATTGCGACAAAGGTGCTTTTGCTTGAAATGCGGGACGGCATGTCAGTTGATGGAATAAGGCAGAGAGCCATCCGAGTGGATACATACTTTTATGGAAGAGGGGGATTATACTCAAAAAACAAATGTCACCGATGCATGTGAATATGCTGAGTAGAGAACTGCATTGATTTTGGTCGTTGTTCTTCAAGAGATGGAACAAGTCATGGGAGGTTGGCGAGCTATATATATAATGGCCCCCCTCTCCTCCCCCCTAGATGTATAGATGTATGGGATGGCGGCCTGATGACGGTCATTTAGATGACAGGCTTTCCATTGACAAAATCTCTCTTTTCACTGGCCATTCTCTCGCCGCAGTTATTTTCTCTCGTTTACCCAGATGCAAAAAAATAACATTGGGCGCCGAGAACAGTACGGAAAAAAGGTCGTCTGTGTGGTTGGCTTTGGAGGGGGGGGGGGGGGGGGGGACATTCCCCCGGGGGACCTGGAGAGTAGAGTAAACAAGTCGTGTGACGTACCGTGTGTAGGTGAATGAGTTGTTTTCTCTCAGCGCATAGACATTGGACACTGTTGACAACTCTATTTAGCCAAAAGGTTTAGAGAAAATTTACCAATCTGGCATCCCTTTTTTTTTCCCCCAGCCATGAGCCACGTATGACCAACTACATAGATGTGTGTCGCACGAGGGTTTCCAGGAACAGCAAAGCTGGCCAATGAGTTCGGGCACCCTATATTCAGCCCGGTCAAAGTTGCGTTGAGCAATATGCACCAGGAAATAGCGGTCAAAAAAAGTTTACACCAACAAGCTCACATGCAGTATGAAGTGTCTCATTTTGCGACATAGTATATAAAAAAGTGTGTGTGAGTGTGTGTGTGTGTGTGTGTGTGTGTGTGGTGGTGGTAAGGAGCAGCAGTCTTTGTTCTGACCGAAACTTTTGAGTCCTCCCAAGTGGCTGCAGTTGTTGGGTTGCATTCAACCAGCATTTACTGTTATTACTGGCGCAGCAGAAAAAGAACCTTCTTCCGTATAACGTTTGAAGCGTGGCAAGAGATGAAAAGTGACCGTAACTTACTCTGTAATGGAGAATTGTATGCAACAAATGCAACAACCCGCTCTTCTTTCCTGATGGCGCACGTCACCCCACGAAATGACGTCGGGGCGGAACCCATGCACCCTTGGTCGCGCGGCGGCATGGAAATCGCAAGATTTCCCCCAGGGTCTCGGTCATATACGCACCCCCCCCCGGGGGTAGACCGGTAAGAGCTGCCTGACCGTTTCCTGACTTGTCTGAGTTGTATATATATGTATGTGTCAATGCGTGTGTGCGGCATAAAAAGCGCGAGTTCCACATCGGTGAGGAAACTTCTTCAATTCCTTGGAAACGGGCACCCGGGGGGGGGGG